AATGAGTATTCAGTAATTTACTGGAGAAATATTTACACCTTTCTGCAAAGTAAGCTTAGACATTTCTTGATATTTACAGTTCCTAAGTTTAAGTATATCTGAAACTTTGCATTTATTAAAGTGGATAGTAGATCTGTAAAATGCCTGATTTCCTGACTATCCCATTTTCTCAAGCAAACACAACCACTACTGTTTTCCCTTTTTTTCTATTGCAGGGAAGTGTGTCTAGCTTTAGAGATGAGAACTATCTAATACTAACATGCGGTACTTATCACATCTTACTATATTTCCACAGTTCTCTTAATTCAAAATGGTAGTGCCAGTTCTTTACTATTGTTCTAAAACATCCCACATGGCCATTTGTTTAAATGAGTATGTAAAGATACCATTCCTGGACAAGAAAGATATCTGTTAAAACAATATCACTACATTGGAAGGAGGTGACTCACCCTATGGTTTTGTCTTAGGGTATTTGATACTTTATATGAGACCAAACACAAAATTCATCCTGCAGCTCATAACTACTGATGTTACATTATCAAAAATTTTGTGTAGGTGAGAATTTTTTGCAATATAAGGCTGTGTCATTACTGTTACTGAAAATTTTATCAAATGCTGCAAATATAATTAATGATTTGTATCCCAATCCATGAAAATGAACTTTTCCTCCCCAAATCTTCACTTTTACTTCTGCCAAGTTCGGCCTTACTGGGGATATATATCTATTACCTCAACCCCCTATTTCTTTAAAAAACATCAAAACACTTACCTTAGTTTAAGGGTTCTTATGAGATTAACTTTCTCTAAGTGAGTCATAGTTGTCCACCAATCAGTCCGGCCAAGTATTCGTAAGTCTGGAGTATTTTGAAGTAAAAGCATTATTGTGTCACTTGATAAATCATGTTGCAACCCTATCCTTAGTTCTTCGAGTTTGCGCAGCCCATTTCTGCGCACTGCAAAATGCAACTGTAAATGGAAAGAAAAATCAGTGTTGTTTCAATTTTATGTACATAAACATTGTAACATCATCAAAGTAGAACAGCATGAATTTTCAATTTATTCATCAACAATGCAGCTTGTGAAAACTTAAAAACAAAGGATCTTTTAATAGTCATTATGATCCTACAATATTTATGTGAATAAGTTGATTGCTTATATCTCTCTTTTGTTTCTCCAAATCTATACAACAGTTAAAATCAACTTTACCATGAGATCCTCCAGGTAATTAGTGTATAAGGTTAAGCTTCGAAGCTGTTTGCACCAAGCCAGTAGAACATCCAGGATATTCTGTAGTCCTTGCTCCCTCTATAAAAGAAATAATTATTTGACAAAAAGAATAAAGCTGGAATCCTACCAGACCATATGTCAGTAGCTTCAAGATATTCCGAATTTGCAAATTGTAAAATACAGATCCTAATAATTATTCATTTATTTTCACTCATTTTTGTCTGTTTTTGGTACACTATAAGCAAGGCAATACTTACTTATATAAAAGAAAAAAAAAAAAAAACATTTCATTTGAAAAAAGAAACATTAAATTTGCCTTTACCTCTATTCTCCCAAATTTTCCAACAAACAGGGAACCTTCATAATGTAGATGTGTCAATTTTGTGAATACACGAACTCCATCCCAGGGAACATCACTCTCCTCATTCTGTGAGCCCAATACCCAAAGGTGAGTAAGCTGTGGGAAACAGACTGACAGGCTACCTAGGTGGTATGCATCCACACACGAGGGCTCAGTCAGCGTTACCTCCGTCACTACATTGCTGATGGGCATGGGATCGTCATTGATAGCAATCTGGGAATGGAGGAGAGACCACTCTAGACCACATATGGTGACTTTCTTCAAGTGCTGTAAACTGGTGAGGCTCTGGAAGCTGGATTCTGTCACTCCAACACCACAATGTTGCATGATGATGTACTCTAACTGTGGGCATGCTTGGCATATATACTGAATGTTGTGTTCCTCAGGAGCAACATAGTATGATGTTCTGGGAAGGACAAGAGGCTCAGACTGTAACATCAGGATGTCTTTTATGACAACAGCCTGCAGATCATATCCTCCTTCCACTATGGCATCTAATCTGCGCAGGGGTAGATTCTTCACAATTGCTTTTACACCAACATAGGTAAGCCAAGACTCACTGACATTTAGGTAATGAAGATTTTTCATTTTTAACAAGGCAGGGATGCAATCTGTGAAATCAGTAATTTTTCCAAACTTTTCTAATGAGTTTGGATCTAAGCCAGAGTCAGTTAATGCCCCATACTTCAAATCTAGATATATCAAGTGGGGACTGTTTGATGCTAAACCCAGTAACAACTGGTTAATCTTACTACTAGGAATTTTAATATGATGTAAAGTCAGATGTATCAGCATTGGCATCTTTGTCAAAGCAGAAGAGAGAAGTTCAAATTTACTGATGGAATATTTCCATACATTTTCTCTCTGGCTAATCAGCATTCTAAGACTGGTTGCATGTTCTAAGGCTTTAAGGTATTTGGCTGGGTTTCTTGTTGGGAAAATGAACTTGTCGACATCTATCTGTGTTATGGATGGAGATAACAGCATCAAAGCCAACTCGTCTATTATGTCCAGGACACAATTCTCCACAGCACAGTTTGTAATATTGTCAAATATAGGTGCTAGTTTATCAAGAAATTCTGCATGAAAATTGGGAGGGATTGATGCAAGCAAGTCCCTCAAGAAAGAAGCACATGGTTCAATGTCTTTAATATTTACAAAACGATACACAAGTTGCTGCAGAAACATAATACTCTTCTTTACAGAAAGAGACGCTAAGGTCTGAACACTATTTTCACAATCAGCCATGGTCAATGAATTTTCTGGTCCCTCTCAAAGTACACAACAAAGAATGGAGTCTCTCATTTCATTATGGATGCACTTTTGACTTATCCTTTACTTTCTCCTCTTCCTTGAACATCTAGGATTAGATCAACAGTCTTTGCCAATTCATAATCTTTATTTATCTTTTCCAAATTTTTCTTTTTGTAAATTATTCAGTGTATCAAGTCTCATCATTCTTGAAAGGTATTCAGATTCTTCCATTTTATTAAGCACAACTGGCTGGAATACAAAATTGTATCATTATAAATACAGCAAGATGAAAAAAAGGTTTATCAAGTAAATAACGGTATTATAAAATAAAATGGTATGCAATCCTTAAAATATAACAAAACTGGACAAAGAAATAAAAGAAAATAGCTCATGATGTAAAATATACTGAAATCTCAATAATCACAAAGGGCTATGGAGTTTTTCATCTAAATTTTTTTTCACTTGATCAATTACACGTGGGTCAGTGAAAGCATCTATCAAGAGCTTTAGGTGAGAAAACTGGATTTCATCTGTCGTACTACAGTATTTCTTTGCATTTTCCTCAGAATCTCTCTTCTTTTCTTCACAATTACCACTTGCCACATTTCCATAATATTCTTCGAACAACAATTTTTCAACCCTGGTTATATCATGACTACAACACCATTCCTCATTTGTCCAGTCAAAAATACCAATGTGCGCACCTTCACTTTTTTCAGATTCTTGTTTTTCTTTTGGGTTTGTGTTATGGAAAACTTTATGAACTAGAAGATTAAGAAGATCTGTAGAGGTCATAGTAGCCACACTCATCATATTAGGGTTAAATGCTGAGGATAAGAGGTCAACTGACTCAATACCCTGACACAGAGATCCTATCTGGTGCATCACAATGGCTTCCTTTACTCTTTCTTCATCATCAGAAGGAAGCTCAATCCATGTATTTACACTCACTGCAAATTCTATATTTTCTACTGAGTGCCACCACTGATTTGGTACAAATAACACATCCCCAGCCTCAAGTGTAACTACATGAGGAGTGGTCAAGACCAATTTAGGGTGTGAAGAAGTATCAGGTCGGGGAAATCCTACTTCACTGTATATACTTGACTCTTCATAAGGCACACGTGTTGGTGAAAGGTATTCTGACTGAGACTTTGGAAATAATACCCATCTCTTTTTGCCCATTACCTGAGCAACAAGATTACATCCATATGTGTCAATATGACATGGTGTATTAGCACCTGTGCTTCCTATCCATAGTGTACTATCAGTTAATCCCCTCTCAGTGAAACCAAATGTACCCCAGTCCAGAGCACCTAATAAGAGCTCTGGGTGCTCTAAATCTTTCATGTAAAAATAATCAAAATAGGCCCAATGTGTACTGCAGTTTACCTGAGACCCACATTGACTTAAACATGTCCTCTGACCTTTTATCCATTCTAAAAAGTCACAATATCTCATGGACACCTTCATACACTCTGTCTCCCATTGTGGAGACTTCAGCTGGTCACCCTCCTTAACCCTTGCACCAACACGAAACATCAGGTTGTCATCCCCCAGAACTCTACCCCAGTCTTTGACCTCCCATTCTAAACACTTCCACTTTCCCTTAAGGTAGCCTTTGAACACTAAGGGTTCCTTCACGTCGTTTAGAATTGCTCTTCTAATTTAGCTCTTCTGTGGATTCAGGAGACTTGTCTTTTCAGAGCAGAGTTCTTCAGAGCATTCCTGACGTGCTTTCTTTTGGACTGGTTCAGCCATCACTTTTACCTTTGAACATCAATCTATTTTTTTTTATATACAGGTTCCATCAGCATACTGGTTCATCTGAAAACAAACAAAATGAATTAACTAATGGACAAAATTTCCATTCACCCTCTTTTTCTATCTCTTCTTAAAATACTTACATTCATATAAATAGTACAATTTGATACATAAAAAAATACAATTAATCTACTTACTGCTGCTGAAGTCAGAAATATCACATAAACAATTTGCTACTATAAATCCTTTTATAAAATCTATACTATCATAACCATCATCTATTACTTCTACACAAACACATACACAAAAAAGTCATATACTTTAATATTAACACTTCCCATTCAGGCACTGCCATGTTCTAATTCTGTTGTAGTCATGGGGCTCTGTGTATATTTAGCAGGCTACATAGTAAAGGTTAATCTTTACTGTATGGACTCACTAAACTAGGGTGTTGAGGGAAAGTGCCCCTTATCAACCCTCCAGTTGGGCAGTGCCCAAAAGGCATACCTAATCACGGCAACTTAGACAGATAAATTTTGTGACATGGAGTTGGAGACGGTCTCTGGTGAGTGCATCCATAATGTAAAGAATTATCCATAGTAAATCTTGAAAATCTGCTAAATGTTTGCCACTGGCCTATATGTGGCCTCCACATTTATCTGCATTCAGGCAAAGACCGACAACTTTCTAACACATTCATCTCAGACAACAGAGCTTGTGTACCTTTCTGGCCTTTATCTGTAACTACAGAATCACTGCAATCTCTAGCATGCCAGAACATATGCAGTGGACATTTGTGAGCATGAGAATTATAATGAACACTAGATACTATGCCACTATCAGGATGGATTTTATTTTGTATATGCCCTTCATCATAGATCACAGCAAGTTCTAAATTCTAAGAAAAAAGTCATGTTTTCAAATGCTCTGTGACTGATTTTTCTTACATGAAACTTTTTATTTTATTTCCAGAATGTTATAAAATAACATTAATCCACTTTCCTGCATCAGATCTAAGTACTTTCTGTCTCTGACACCAAACATTTATGCCATGGGACTTGTGGATAGTAGCTTCCTAATTATTATTTTTCCAATTTTTCACATACTGAATATAAATATGCCAAAATATGCCAGTGAAGTTAATAACAGGAAACATATGCCTCAGTACAAAGTTTTGAAAGAGCTGTGAACCAAAGATCTTTGGCAAAAATGGTCTCAATTCCAGACTAGGATAATCATGTAAACAAGCCCATCCTTTTTATATCAAATACACAAATAATTATAAGACTTCCTTCTCAAATAAATACTATATAAAATATGTAGAAGTTGAGTAAGGTTAGGCTCACCTAAAAATAATATTTACATTTGTGTGAAAACACAAGATCTAACTGGCCAATCATTTGAATGCTTGGTAATTGTTACCAAGAATGACACACCCTCCAGAGAAAAAGTCCCAAAACCAGGGTTTCATGTGAACCCAAACCTAACCTTTCCTACCTTTTATTTATTCCTTAGACAGGGGGGCAAGCCCCACTATACCTCCCTCCCCTTTATTAGCACTTCATACCAGCTTATAAAAAATGGACATTAAGAATTCTGACTGTGAGAGCGTTGCGGACTTTGTCTCTGTGCAGTGATATGCAGTGAATATTTTTGTTATTTCGTAGTAAATATGAGGCTGCTGCAGCTGTACCTATGTTCTTTTTTACTAGATTTCTTGTGCGGTGTCCACTTCCCCCATCTTTGTGCACTGCTCTCGGTAACGTACTGAATGTAATCATGTAAACAATACTGAAGTAAACAAACACACTGTATAAGCACTTAATCACGTAAACAATATTGAAGTAAACAAACGGCACTGTATAAGCACCTACCACACAATTCACTGCAAATGATATATCTGTGTGTCCCACTCCATAACATATCTTTTAGAAATATAAAAATGGACAACCCCTACCTGCCTTCCAAATAATCTATTTTCAAGACTCCCTTGCTAAGTTCCTACAGTAAGGTGTAAGTGACTCAAACTACAACAGACCAAATAAATCAGCACTTCTCAACCTGTGACTTACAGGTGGTTCTGATATGGCGACAATATGATGCCATATGCCATATGTTGCCATTCACTGCAAGGGACACATGGCAGTGACAGCTTCTCAACACTGGGGAGACATGTATACAGGTGACTTAACACCGATTGCTGACACCATACACCAATTTTACCGAATAAAATGTGGCGATATGCGCATCGAGACGTACATACTTCAAAAATCCGACGCAGAGTGCAACAATCTGGACATCTCTATACGTCAAAGTCCAAATCCCGAGAGAAAGGATCACTAAACTTGAAGTCAACTACAAGAACCTCAACAAAGGCATTTCTAACCCTGATCCCCTCTGTCTTACCCTTTTCAAATAGCTTCCTTGAACTCCGTGGCAACATCCCGAAGACTCAGATAAAGGAGGGGCAGCCTAGGACATGACTCAGACTATCTAAACACAAGATATTCTTAGGTTTACAGGCCCTTTAATAAGAGCCAAACTCCCTTGCCAGGCACGAGGTCGGCGCCATTCATTCCCTCTCGATTTTGAGCCTTCAAGTTCTTTGTCTTTTTTGGACTCGATTGTTATTTTTGTCTGGATGTAACTAGTTAGGTGCATTAGGACTCCATAGTTAGTTATAATCAATATTTTCACATAGGAATACACACGTGTGCGCGTGCATATGTGTGTATATATATATATATATATATATATATATATATATATATATATATATATATATATATATATATATATAGATATATATATAGATAGATAGAGATATAGATATATAGATACATAGATAGATAGATATAGATAGATATGTATATATATAGGCAACATTGTTGTTTCATGTAATATGACACAAGGCAATTTCCACTCCATCAAAATGAAGCCCGCGATATCCAATCTAATCGCTGTTGCTGCATTTTTTTCGTTGTGGATTTCTCATAAAATACATCGTTGTTGGAAATTATATCTTGCCGGCAGGAACACTGCTTATTTTATATCAGTTTACCATTTGACGACCTTGCTCTAACAAGGAATTTGATAACCTTGAGCCAAAACGTTTAATAGGGTTTTAATCACTGGGAGCTCATACTACCAAATATCAGACTTTGGCAACGTTTTGCACACCTCTAGGAAACGTTTTGAAATTCCTCTTTTGGGTGAGTCGAGTATTCAACAATTCTCCATAGGTTTGTTTAAGATGATAATAGTAATAACAATGGCAATGAAAGAGATAATGTTAATAGTGATATAAATTATATTACTACTACAAATAATAATAGTATCAATGATCACTAGTTAGATCCTTCTCGCCCATAAAATCCTACTGGCACGTGACATTTTACATATAATAGAATCAATAACCTTGGCAATTCCAATTCCATAGTTACCACAGCTATTCTCAATATTTTCAATATATTACACGTGTAGCCATATTGGGAATATCAAACAACACATTACCAACATATACTTTAATAAATCGAGAATGAAATACACCGTCAATTTCATTACTTTGAAATTTATTCCCTATCTGTGTTGATCTGTCCCTAGTAATGCCTAAACAAACACTCATTTTGAGGATGTTGAGTGTTGAAACGTATATCATCGTTTGCTGATTCGGCGAAACATCCTGGAGTTTTGACTTCAATTCCTGGATGAGCGAAAACTGGTGGTGATGTGGAGGTTGGAAGAACTGGTGGTAGATGGATGAAATGTACGTAAACCAACATATTTTGGTGAATCATCGGCATCGTCGTAATTCTCCATAGCTGCTTCGAATAAGACATTGTTGATTAAATGTTTCACTATTGTCTGGGACTTTGGGTTAAGCTTCCGAATTTCATTTGCAACATGTTCACCATACACTGAGCAGTCACCCCTTTTCAAATCTTCTTTCAAAATGTTATAGGAGCCTTCTGCTTGCCCACCCTCAATATTTTTCAATTTCTTTGTCCCTTTCCGTTACTTGTCTCTCTGCCTTCGTCATTTTCGCCTTCATTCTCAACTCCATTGTATTTTCCTGCTGGATAGCTTAAATACGGCGTCATTTCCATTTCTACGGTTTCAGCATGACGACCACTTTCTGATTGATTCTGTAAGAAATGTAGAAAACGTATCGTATATAAACAGTATACTTGAAAACTCACTAGTAAAGACCAATGTTAAAAAAAAAAAACAGCTTAATCACAAAGAATGGACTAAGTAATCAAGGGGGTTGAAATCTCTCCGTGCTCTCGGTCATCTACCAAGCCCTGAGACCTTCCCTCTCTCCATACATTTTTTCTGCCCTTTCCTTTCCCTCTCCCCAACCACAATATCCCCTTCTTCCTCCGAACCTTTCCCTCCCCTCTCTCCTTAACCCTCTTCGTACTTCTTCCCTCACATCTACCATGTCATCTTCTCTCTCCTTTCCCTCTTCTTTTACCTATCATACCACCCTATTTCCATACCATTCCTGGCCCTTCATCACTCGGAACGTACCAAGCCCTTCCTTCTCTACTTAACCCTCTCCACCTTTTCCCTTGCCTTTTACCCACCAGGCCATCCTCTCCTTGTCCCTCCCGGCTGTTTCCTTTCCCTCTCATGTCATGCCATCCCCTCTCTCTTTAACTACCCCCTAGTATCTTGTCCTTTCCTCAAACCTACCACGCCTTTCCCTCGCTCCCTTCCCCTCTCTCCTTATACCTTCAGGCCCGTTCCCTTCCCCGACACCTGCGAGTCCTCTCATCCCACCTTTCTTTCCCCTTCCTCGCTCCTACCAAGTCCTCCATTCCCCCCTACCTCGTAACCCTTCATTTTCTGCCCAAAATTCCATGTCTTAGTATTTCCACTTCCAGTCTGAACATGTGAAGTTTGTACAGTAAGATAAAACATACACCTGTGTCTTATTTGTGTCTACAAGTTTTGTTTTACCATAATATCATATTAATTGGCTTTTGTCGAAACGCCAAGAGGCTGCTAGTCGGTGTCGGACGAACAGGTGTCTTCAGACAAATTTTATCATCACTGAACCAAAATTGCATTTCATTGGAAAAAGGGCCACCCACCTAATCAGGTATTGGCCTTTCAGCTTGAAGCTCGTTATCTGATGAATGAGCAGGTGGGATCCCCACGTCCATGAGGAATAATAGCAAGTCGTAGGCAAACCATTGCTTTCTTTTCGTACGTCGTTCCAAGCAGTACGCAGATTCCTGGGGCCGGATTCTCAAGAGTCTTAAGTTGAGGCGCGCTGGAGGCCTTGACCGTCCTGCTGTATTTCCCTTGTATAAGAGCGAAGTGTTGATTTCCCGCCCGCCGTGAAGCTTTAAAGGCTGCTCTCCCCCTGCCTTAGTCTACGGCGCCGTAACTCGCACCAATATGGCGGGTCCCTTGCTTTGTGTATGTGTATGTAAGATCGCTCGGCCGTAAGTTAAGGCGCCTTAAGGAGATACGGCGCCTTAACGCATTTGAGAATCTGGCCCCTGATCTTATTCCTTACCATCTCTGTGTCACATTCAAACTTCGTAGCTAATATCTAATGTGCATCTAGTTTTGCCTGGTTATTCTTGTATTTCCCATCGCGTGGGTCCCATAAATTAACCATTTTTCTTTATTCTTCAATAAACTTTGCCGTTTTTTCTTGCGACCAAGTAATCTTGTTTCTTTCCTCTTGTAATCTTTCCCGTGACCGCGTGGAAGGCAGGTATCTCGACAACAGGATTGTCGCATGCGTCAAACTTCCACACTGTCGCATGCCATATTTTGCCGCGTGTTGCACTGGTTTTAGCGCATATGTGAGAGAGAATGTAGCATGCTATATGTTGCAAAAACTTTGCCATGATGGAATCAGGCTTAACAAAAAAACAATTTCAAAATGTAACGGACAACTCATCCGTTCAATTAGTTCTACTGTAATTCAACAGATGACGCTGTTTGAGTTGACGATCCTGTTTATTGCATCGTTAAGACGGACTTTCTTGCCTCACGATAGTCGGTCCGCATCGGAGTTTAAGCGATGTAAATAAAAGTTAGGATTAGTTTGAATTGGCGACTCCGACAAAAAAGTACTGCATCTCAAGACATACCAAAATCTTGAGACTAATAGAGATTATATAAAAGAAACAAAAGAAGAGAAAAAGGCTTTATCGGATACAGACTATACGAAAGTCTAAAACCCTATAAAAGAATAAAGAAGAAGAATTGGCGCTGGGTGAAGTAAAAAAAAAATGTTTTGAGGGAGTCATCTACACTCTGCCCTGCAACTAGAAAATAATAAGATATTTTGATGTGACATGATTTACCTCGAGGAGTATGGCAGATGTCAAGGATTATATAAAGAAATTGGGTAAGTTTGGTTGTTTAAAAAGAATCCAAAGTGCAAGAATAGGTGTTCTATTTAATACTTGCAATGATCTGAGATGAAAAGTCAACAATCTAAAGATCAGCAAGGAAATGTCACTTTATGAAGCAATCTCGGTGTATTCAGACCTCTGGCACTACTATTACCTACAAAGAACCTTTTCCATATATGTACATATCATCATCATCATCATCAGCCTGAGTCTGCAGGATGTCATCACTGCAGGACATAGGCCTTATATATACATATTTATATATTTTTGGGTATGAGTTACTGAGAGCGATACACAGAGATAAAAAGAAATAGACACCACAATCTTACAGTGTATAAGAAATATAGTAAGGAAAACCAAGTGTGTATATATAGCTGTGAACTTGCTATGTTCGAGAATGACCTATTTTGCCATGGTGCACACTGATTGGCATCTTATTTACTCGTAAATGACGAAAATGTCCACTGCATAGCACCACTCAGAGACTAAGTCCACAACAAAATCACACTCCCTCATGTTCTTAATGTCCTCTTTCTGTAAGTTGGCACAAAGTGCTAATAAATGTAGGGTACATGGGGGCTTACCCAGCTGCATAGGGAATAAATAGAAGGAAGGAAATGTAAGGATAGCTTTTGAGATTTGCATGATAACCTGGTTTTTGGACTTAGTCTCTGGAGGATGTGTTGCTCTCATTAACAATTACCAAATTTTGTAATATTTTCTATGATAGAGTCATCCATTTATAAATATCTTTGATTTTAAGCTACTTTTTCTAATAGTTCTATAAATTTTCAGTTCACCCAATTGCAGAGATCAGAGAGCGGGCTCTCAACTCCTTGTTACAGAAGGTGAATTTTCAGTTGGTTGCAAGCAAAGGCTTGAGTG